TGTATTTTATATTTACATTTGTAGTTTTTTTTCTATTTCAAATTTGTCAGCTGATCTAAAACATTTGAATAGTACAAAAAAGCAAAAGTGAAAGAAAACTCTAGGTGCTATAGTGCACTGTGAGTATAATGTACAACCTTTATTGGTGGTAAAGTAATCATGTCTATCATCCATACAGAGAGAGCTGCTTCATAATTCAAAGTCAGCTGATTACTGTCCTCAAAGTTTAAGTTAGGTAACACTTGTTTAAGGGACAGCCAGAAATGGAATCCCCTTACATCCCATTTTCACTGTGTCAGCACAAAACTGGTTTTCTTCACATATTTACATACTCTAATCCTTTAGTGGACTTTCACTTTCATTTACTTCCCCTTACACCTTTTCTAAGAAGTGGTGTGCCAAGGCGAATAAGACAACGCCTTCTCAAAAAGGACCACAAATTGGGGATAATAGAGTTTCGTGGTCATGATTCCAAGTCAGTCTATTTTCTTCACATATGCCATTGTTTTTTTGTTTTTAATGTACCATGGATGAAAGAGTAGAAGGAAAACATGTCCTCATAACCTAGAAAAGAGGAACCCTATACCATTTAATAATTATTTTGCTTTCACTGCAGTCTATATATATGTTTGTTGTAATGGGTTTCATTTCCTTTTTTATATATGTACTTTTTTATGTTGTGGGTCAACTCAGCCTGTTTATAAAGTTTTCATATAAAAGCAGTATTTGAAAATGGTTTCAAAGGAAATTTCACATATTTTAACTACCCTCTACATGTGCAATACGAACAATCAAGGTCAGGTTGATTCTGCAATAAAAGTGGAGGTCTAGTGGATTAAAAACCTAATTTTCATGAGGGATCTTTCAACCCAAAAACAAAGGCATACTGCCCAAGTGTCCCACTATCCTTATAAGGACTTTGCACCCGTGTCCTTTCATTTCTTACTCATTTATTTTATGTTTCCTAACACAGACCATTACACTGCAAAAAAGATCTAGAAATAAGTAAAAATGTTTTAAATTAAGTGTATTAACCGTTAATTTGAGTAGGTAAATTAGATAGTTTGCCAATGGAATGAGTAATTTTACTCTTAAAATAAGATAATTAGATAATATGCACTTGAAATAAGTCAATGCAATTGTGTTTTCTTATTATAAGTGTAAATTGTCTTGTTCCATTGGCAAAATGTCTCCTTTACCTCCTCAATTGAAGAACAAATGCACTTATTTTTAGAAAAAATGACTTATCTAGATTTAGATTTTTTGCAGTGTACCCCTAAACTAGCCTAAACTTAGTTTAAGAAATTATTCCCATACATTAATTAAAATGTCCAGTCTTCTGCTTCTTTTATTTTTATTGTGTCCCCTAGAGGACAGAAAGGGTTAAGATTCCATTAGACTTTTCAAACTGAATATATCCTCTAGATTTGGGGGGTGGGGGACCAATGATTATACCGGCTTGTATTTATGACTTTCCTATCTGCAGAGGGACACCAGCATACCAAACTGTAACAGAATGCTCTCCAATGTTTAATGACAGATCATCACCAGATCATCCACCTGCACAAGGCAAAGCCTACAGCCTCTGCAGTTCCTCTCGGAACTTGAGGAGCTTGAAGTCAGAATTTGCGATATTATTTAAATTATAGGAGCAAAACATGCGGCAATGAATGCTTAATTTAATGACAAAATTTAAACCCACCATCAGCATCAATCACAGATGTTTCTGCTTGAACATTTTATCTTCGTTATGGATCTTTGTAATAAGGATAGTTAGGTCATACTAAATTGTTTTTTTTTCTACTTCCAAACTCACCCTATCATCATCCATGCCTGCGATAAGAAGTTGTGATCAAACTTAAGTCTCTTGTCTCACATGAGCAAAGAGGGTTTATTAGGCGGAGACAGTTGTTTTTTAATGTCCGCACACTCCTAAATATTATTTACTCTAAAACTACCACAACAACACCTGAAGTAGTAATCTCAATTGATGCTGAAAAAGCATTCGACGGGGTTGAATGGGAAAATTTATTCACTGTACTAAAGCAATATGGACTAGGCAATGGGTTCATTTCGTGGATACGCCTGCTTTCTACTTCTCCACAAGCAAACATCTCCATTAATGGCATCTAGTCTAGTTTCTTCACCCTAAGGAGAGGTTGTCCCCTCTCTCCTTTATTGTTTCCACTAGCGATAGAGCCATTATCAATTTTTTTGAGATCCTCCTCAACTTTTACTGGGATTTCACGGTTGGTCACAGAATTTAAGCTGTCACATTATGCTGATGACTTATTGTTGAATGTCTCAGATCCTGCTCTTTCCATCCCCACATTTTTATCTGTTTTCCAGAGATTTGTTACTTTTCTGGATACAAAGTGAATATCTCTAAAAGTGAATGTTACCCTATTAATGCTTCAGCCTTACAGCTCACAAAGTCAGATGTCCCTTTTAATTTAAAGTTGACTGGCTTTAGGTATCTCCGTATCAACATTACTAGAACATTAAATTCTCTCTTTTCTGCTAATTTCTCACCTTTCTTGTCTAAAGTTAAAATAGACCTACAAAGATGGAGAAGTATACCACTCTCTTTAATAGGAAGAATTAACGCAGCTAAAATTAACATTTTGTCCAAATTTCTGGTTTTATTTCACTGCCTCCCACTTTCCCTACCAAAAAAGTTTTTTTAAAACAATTGATCAGACTATCTCTAACTTCCTATGGTGTGGAAAGGCTCCCAGGATCCGTAATTCCATACTCCAGAGATGTAAATTCAATGGTGGACTGTTACTTCTAAATTTTCCAATTCTGTTATAGGGCAGCTCACATTAATAAAATCTTATTCTAGTTTAAATCTATGAATCTGCCGTGGTGAAACTTGGAGGCACAGTCATGCAGTTCATCATCCTTATCTTCTCTACTTACGTCCTCTATTCCATCCAACCTCATCAATTTAGGACACACTTCAAATTTAAGTCAGTATCCACTTTAACCCCTACACTAAAAAAAATCATTTCAGCCATTTACAGATCCAACCTTCCTAACATGGCATAATAAAGGCCTAAAGTGCTTTAAAGACCTTTACAAAGATTATATTTTTTGCAGTGTTGTGATTTTATGTTTTCTTCAATTCCCAGCCAGCTTGGAGTTTATATTGCTGATACTTTAAGATGTTTATTGCCCTCCCCGGTGGGGGTGGTAAAATATCTTATTTAATCAGATATTATTTTGGCTGTTATATAGAGTTTATGACACACAGTCCTACTAACTGTTAGAACAATAAATGAAAGAGTAATTGTAGCACTAATTATGGTCAAACAGTTAATTCTGCACATATATGGAATAAATTCACCACAACTTCTGTTCAAAATGTGAGTTTATTAAGAAAAAAAATCATTCAGCTCCAAGTCAAACATATTTCAGTTTAACACTCAACAAAGACTAGTGAAACTAAACTATGTACAAAGAGGAAGGGGAAAACGGTTGAAAAACATAACAGTTTAAGATGGATTTTGAGTTTAAAAACCAAAGTTTATCTGGAAGAATTTGCGATATGATCAAATTAGCTTTTTAATAATTTTAAAGAAATTGGAATGTTTTCAGACCAATTCACAATGCAAATCCATGAGGTGAATAAAACATTATTTGGCCAAATACCTTTCTACCTCGGGCGCCATAGACCTCCATTATTTGAATGTCAGCAGACAGCAAGAAGCCTCCCAGATCTCCAGATGCATTTGAGATATCAAAAAAGTACTCCAGAGTGTTGTTCAGCATTGGGGTGAGTAGAAAATGAAGGCTAATCATGTTTTGGGTGTACTATTCCTTTAACCCCACACTGCTCACAATGCAAAATGGCAACCCACTGCTCCCCAAGAGCATGGGTTAAATACACAGTTCATTTTGTTGCTCTGTACTTGTGGAATGACAATAAAAAAAAAGCTGGAATTGATCAAGACACCCATTCTGATGGAGTTGGTTTTAAAGTCAAAATGAAGCAGTCAAACATACTTAATTCATGAGATTGTGTTTTACTATTGTCAATAATAACATTACAAATGTGAAAAAAAAAAAAGCTTTTTGTTTTATATTTTTGTAAGCGTGTCTCCATAATCGCCGTACTTCAAATGGTGGCATCATGGGGTTGGTCAATGCTACAGCTAGCAATCAACTAGCAATCAGCGATATATCACAACCATAGAACAGTTAAAACATTTGGTATGATGGATGACGAAGCTGAAAGGAAACTCCGACATCTAAATCCCATTGCTTATGAGGCAATTCACTATGTGACTCGATTCATAGTAAGGAGAGAAGAGGCAGTTTTGGACCCCAAAAGTGGGATGTGGGCCCTAAATAGGAATCATAGATGTACTTGTGGGGGCAGCAGTCAGTAGGACCACAAAACACAAATAACAGAATACATTTTTGGAAGTCATGTTAAGCTTACAATTTGATAAATATCCTGACACCATGGCTTTGACTAAATATGCATCTTATAGTTTGTTTAAGTCTGTTTCCTTATTTTCCTTCCATTCTGCATCTAACAAATCGGAATCAGTAAAGCAAGTATTCATAGAAATATCAAGCTTCTTCTGCAAGATAATGAACAAAAATTGATACATAGCCTTTAAATCAAATTGGGAGGGACATATTTTTACATTTTATTTCAGGTAAACCAGCACACAGGAAATGTAGCAAATAGTAAAAAAGAAGAATTAAAACAATACAGATTGTCAATTTCTGTTAAAAAGGAAAAACTGGCATGAAGAGTCCTGCAGTAATCTGGTAGATCCAATATCTAAAATCTACATTTTGATCCAGTAGTTGTGTTGGTTGTGTGGAAAACAGTTAAATGAAGAAGAAACAATAACATGACAATGTGTCTCTAATCAAGCAGAAAAACTTCTGTAAAATTGTCATGCAACATGTTTTGGGATCATTCAAGACAACTATTTTATACAAAAAAGCAGCATTAAATGGTGTTGAAGCTTTTCAACATGCCAAATCAGTCGCTTCCTATACCAGTTCACATTTTACAATAAAATTAAAGTAATGAAGTCTGACAAATAAATTAATCTATAAACACTTGATTATAAAAGTAATCTTTTCTGCAGTTCAAAAGTTTAAAATTACAAATCCTATTTACAATACCAGGTGGTTTAACCTGCATCTGTAATGTTCTGTTAAAATCTGACGCTTCCTAATCTCTTTGGTTATTAGGATTTGGAAACTTAACTTCTTACACTTCTGTCAAACATGTTTATCCATTGTTGGGGTTGTGTCGTAAAGTTTTAGATAAAGGATCAATTTAAGACACAGTGAATAAACTCATTTCAAAAATAACATTTCAACAAAGTAAACCCAGTGTGACATATTTACAGGAAAACATTGATACATCTCAGGCTGAACAAAAAGTGGTTAACCAGAAACCCTCTTTCCATGTATTTTCAAGTCTTAAATACCAAAACTCACCTGAAACCTAAATAAAGTTAGCAAAACAAGTTAAAACTTTACTGACACAATCTCCCCTCAAAAAAATCGTTATTAGCTTTACAGGTAAAATATTTTTGAACAACAATGTAATATTGAAGAGACTGAGCTGTAATTCTCCATTTTACGCCACAAGGTGTCAGTGGTGATCTTCTCTCAGGATGATAATGAGGCTGTTTATACTTGTCCAGTAGCATCTTGGAGCTCTTCTCTGATGGTGTTCAGCTCCACGATGCAATCATTCAGAACATTTGCCACTTGTCTTATGGCACTCACTATTTCCTTAGTACAGCTTTTCTTCAGCTCTCTGGTTTCTTTGGTAAAGTACTTGTCCATACCTTTGAAGAGTCCTTGCAGGGAGCCCACAGCCTCATCTGTTATTTCTGTTGCTCGCATCACTGGGGAATCCACCATGCTGATCATCTGGACCGCCTTGCGAACGTCCCAGTCCTGTGAATAATGCTGCGTGCCAGATCTGAGGAAAGGGTGGCCGCGGAGTCTGTACAAGCCCTGGTTGACGAAGTGAAGGATCTTTGAGATCTCCAGCAATCGGTCTTCATAATCCTGCAGTATTTCCTCGATCTAATTTATGACAGGGAATAAACAAAGTTGTATGAAGCAATTTACAAAGCCCAATAAAGCAAAAATAAGTAACAGTTCCTAATATTTAACAAACTAGTTAATTTAACTATGTAGATGACACACAGCTATACAGTGCAATATTTGCATGCAACAATGAACCAATTCAAGCACTGTGGAAATACACAGAAATTAACACACAGATATTTTTATAGAATTTTCTTAAGCTACCCCCCCAAAAAACAAAACACAGGTAGCTTGTTTAAAAGTGGGCAGCTTCAGTTAATACAGCTAGAAACCAAAGGTAAGGCTTGATAGAAGGCTGACCTATTTCTGTCTTTATAAACCTCAACCTTCAGAGGTTTATAAAGACAGAAATAGGTCAGCCTTCTATCACCTGCAAGATTCAAGGACCAATGTCTTAGCAGGACCTTCAAAAACTAATTGATCTTTAGTAGTAGAATTACTACAACAGTGTCTTCACAGATCTGTCTAAAGCGCGGATCCAACAGATGCATCCGGGTCAAATCTATTCTGCAAACCTAGGACCAAACATACGGAAGCTGCTTTTAGATTTTTCACTCCACTGATCTGAATTAAATTCACAGAAAACTGAACCCTAAACTGGTTTAAAGGGGACAGTATGAAAAAGAATTGCCTCTTTATAAGTTTTTAAAAAAAGCATTGGTTTAACATTTACTGCAAAAGTCTAATGTCGCATCAAAACTAAAAGCATTCTCAAGGCTTCCAATTAATAAGTTGTAAATACACATGGAGAGGTGCATCAAATGGGAGAGGTCATGCTGTGCCGTCATTTTTGATTAGACCATGCAAAAGGGGACAAAAGTTGCCAGCTTATGCATTTGACCTTTATCTGAAAACGTGTCGTCGGTGGAAGAAGTCTTTAAAACAAGCAAAAACAACGTAAATAATTCTTCCTCCCATTTTCTGTTGCAATGGAGGACATTCTCTTTGTCCAATGAGAGGCAAGAGAGCACCCCCACAAAAATAAACATAAAAAAGGGGGGATAACCAGGAGAAATGAAAGTCTACATCGATGCAGCTTTTACCAGTTGCAGGCATAAGGACAGGCTTCAAAAAGGACAGACAGGCTGCAGCCTTTCTGCTTGTAAAGTTATTTAGTGAAGTTTAATTTCATGTTATATGTTATATTCTGATGGTGGTCAGAGGGCCCGGTGGCGCCAGTGTACGGCAGCCCCGCTTCTGTCAGTGAGCCCCAGGGCAGCTGTGGCTACAATGTAGCTTGCCACCATCAGTGTGTGAGAGTGTGCGTGAATGTGTGAATAAATGTAGTGTAAAGCTCTTTGGTCAAGTCTTCTGACTTTAATAAAGGCGCTATATAAGTACATGCCATTTACCATTTATATTTAGAACATGGCAGTGTAGTTCACCCATTATTCTTTCCCCCTGGCAGTGATGGCTAATTTGTTTGTTTTCTGAGCTTGCACTGAAGAAGCTCTGACACAACGGTTATCAGCTGCTGTTATTCTTCACACAAGTCAAATGAACAGGCAACTGTCAGCTTCTTTGAGTCCCGTTTTAGAAAAATGTTCCATGTGCTTCAGGTTTGACTTTATCTGATTTGATGGTTCATGTTTCCCCTCCATTCAAAAAATGGAATGTCACTACCCAGCTTCCGTAGTAGATCTCACACTTTCAGGGATCCACCAGCTGCTGTGTTTTTAGTGTTTGTCATTCATTTAGTGCACCACTAGATGGAGGTTAATATTAAACACTTTCACTTTGAATGGAGATGAAGAAACCCATTTATTTAGAAGTATTTGACTGGGATATCTAAATATTCGTTTTTAGCAAAACTTTTCAGTTCTTAATCGTCTTTTCAGTTTATGTATAATTATTTAATTTTCATTTTCATTATTGTCTTTAATCATCTGTCTTACCTTTAAGAGACCAATTTATTTTGTCTTATTTTTTTATCATGTACAACACTTTGAATTATCTTGCTACTGAAATGTGCTATATAAATAAACTAGCCTTGCCTAGATTGGCCTGGCCCAACATGGGAAAATGACTAAAATCACAGAACAGTACATCTACAACATTTATGTCTCATTGCATCTAAGGCACATTTTACCTGTTTGCGGTCATTCTTGTTGTGTACATTATCAGAGATGGCTGCAGAAGCTGAAGTGATTCCACCAGCTGTTGCGACCCCGACGCCCACAGCTGTAATTAGCAAAGAGGCTCCGAACGTTAAGGGAGCCAGAGCCAAGCCGGTGATAGCCGTCACAGTGCCCACCGCCGTGGTGGTTCCACCACTGATACCAGCGATCTTAGCTTTGTGATGGAACTCGCTGATGTCGTCAGCAAGGGTGTGGAGTGAGATGATGGCCTGCCACAGGACTTCGGCTTGTTCGGTGAAAACCTTATTGAAGAGGCGAAGACCTCGTTCAACCTTTTCTGCCAAGATGCTGAATGACCTGTAAACAAAGCAAGATGTTTAGATGAAATATGGTTTAGATGATTCTTTGTTATATACATGTTTAATTACAAGGAGAGGTTTAAAGGGGAAATATCAAAGTGAACTTTTTATACCCCTTACATACATTTTGTTGTGACCTTCTGGACTCTAGGTGACTCAAGGTTCTGTGTAGATATCTACATAGTCTCTTTGGATCATATTTAATCTATTCAGTTTCATGTTTCCCATATTACTTATTTTGAACCGTAATGTATTTGTACAGGAAGTGCCAAATAAGGTCAAGCGGTTTTTGCCTTAAAAAGTTTGTGACCACCACTTTTATTTACGGAAGCTACTTTTTTAGTCCATTCTGAGGCCAAAGCTCCAGGTGGGTAAGTCAGAATGTTTGGTTCTTGGGTGTTTTAACCGCAGCAATTCATTACACCCACCTCCAGCATCTCTGCCATTAGAAAACTGTATCCCTCTTTCAAACTACAAATGCAGCCAAACAAAGTGGAGTGGAATCAGTAACGTGGAGCGGGAAGGGATGCGGAGCCTCACATTATGTATGTATATGAATATATGGGCATTTTCTGTGCTATGTTAATTATTAAATATTGAAACCTCTATGTTGCACAAATATCCTATATTAATCGGTCACTGGACTAAGAGAAAAGGCTGCTGGTAAATTCAAATGGTCGCACTTTGACTCATCCTCTCTCAAGGCTTCGTCCTCTTCATCCGATGGCAGTTCATCCCACTCTGAAATGTAAAGATGGCAGGTGGTTAACCATTCATTAATCCATTAAGATGTCATTAAACGTAATTGGATTCAGACTCACTTTCTACTGTGTACCACCACTCCATTAAACTGTCAGTGTCCTGGAGACAAAAACATATCAGAATGGCTGTGAAAATGTATACAAAGCTATACATATTCCTACTGTTAGGGAGTTCTGTTTTAATTTTTCTTAAATCTGTCATATTAACTCAGGTTATAGTCTGACATGTGGATTTGTGTCAACCAAACAAACAGGATAAATCTGTGATGGAAAAATATTGTTACACAAAACTATTTTTAACATTAATATCCACCTAACATTGAAATGAATAAATAAAGGAATGCAATAACAATGTTTGTATTAGTAAAAAGGAACTGACCCCGTCATCTTCTTCATCCTCCTCCTCTTCTTCTTCCAGACCCCCGGCAGCTTGTTCGTCCATCTGAGCAGCCGCCCAGGCTGCCTGCAGAATCGGTGGGGATAAATATTAGGTCAGTTTGTTGCAACATGCTTTGCTTTGTTTTTACAGCTGTCATTGAACTCCGCACTTTTAAGGCCTTTACTGACATAAAAGCTTTGCAGCAGCGTTTCGTGCGTCAGCAGACAGTATGCAGCTAAACCAGTCAGGCAAGACGTTAGAGAGATGAATCAAAGAGCAATTGAGAAAAGAAGGCAAGCACTTTCAACATGCAGCTTGTGATTGTCTCAGGAAATAGCCTGCAACTATCCAATTGCTTTCAACTTTAGATTTCTAAGTTGATATGTGACATTATTTTTGCTTCTGTGTATTTCTGGCTGAGAGATAAACGCCAAAAGGCAATCGGTTCAGCATCAGTGGAAAGTTTTAAAGCTGATAATCTGATATAGTCCGTCAGCAGGTGAAGCTGATCAACACCATGAGTCACAGCTATCACATGAGAGTGAATGTTAAAAAAAGAGGGAAGTAAAGATAAGATTGCAGTGTTATAGAAGTGTTCATAACTCTAAAACTTTCCACATTAAAATGCGTGTTTGTAAAATGACAATGTATTTGATGATGTAAATCAACCATTCTGAATGGAAATGTTATTTAGAAGGGAAATCACATTATTTTACAAATTAAAGCCAAATACAGCATTTGTATTCAATCCTGCATCCTTATCTGTACCCATGAATAAAATCTAACACTACAACCACCTTCCATAATCAGCCAATCTTTATACAATATATGGATTATATTAAACAGAAGCAGTCAAGGCATTCAAAGTAATTATGGAGCAGCTGTGGAAATCAAGAGCTCAGGTGGGTGAATCTGCTGACAGGACAATACAAATCTGTGATTCACCACCAATCGACTCTTTATGGGAGAGCTGTATGAAGACAGCCATTGCTGGAATAAAGATACATGAACTCCAACTTTCCATGGATCACCAGCCAATGCAAACACATAAAAGAAAGTTGCTATTGAGGATTACAATAAATATGGAGGATTTTGTCTTGCCTTTAAAGTACATGAGGTCTAATTCACCAGGAAGTCACATTCTCCCTTATGAAACACGGTGGTGGCAGCATCCTATTGTAGGAATGCATACCAACAGGGAAGAGAAGATTGTGTCTTTGTTAAAACGACTCCAACATTGTGGACTGATCTCCCATGACATGTCAGGCAGGCCTCCTGGCTTGAAGACTTCAAGACTCCTCTTTAAACAGATCTACTGCATTTGCAGGAGCCTTTTGCACATCCTGATAGGCTGACTCATTTTTAATTTTTACTTTAAATTATTTTATCTCTTATTTTTAAGTTATTTTTTAATTTTATTTACAGTAGCTTGTCTATTTAAATTTTACAGTTACAGTAAGTTCATATATTGTTGAGCTTCTAGATTTTAAAGTGCTTTGTTAATAAGGTGGTATGGTATGATAGAAAGGATCTTGATGACAAATATTTATACAGCAATCTTAAATAAAAACCTGTGAATTTTTTCCACATTCATTTGTAAAACATTGAAATTGATGCCATTTCCTTCGACTTCACATTTCTACCCTATTTTAAGCTCATACAGTCATTTTAAAATATATAAAAGTTAATTAGAAGATGACTAATTTTTGTATACAAAATAAATAAGATTTACCGGTACTTTTAAGCAGAAGCTTGGTGACTTGCTGCCCTCTGCATTGTTTTAAAGTCAGTTTTAGTTAGAATAAAATAAAAAACTATTTTAACTGATGTAACTGCACCCCTGCAGTCGTACCTTAGCAGCCTCTGAGAGATCATCAGATGCGGCTTCAGATTTGTTCTTGGCCTTTTTGCTCTGTTAAGAAAAAGAGTAAAGTCTGAGAATCTGACACAAATTAATCTGATAAAAAATAATTTACGATTTCTGGACTAGTTGCAAATAGACAAAAAGACAAACCTTTCGCTTGTATTTCTTGGGAACTTTGAATTTGAATTGCTTTTTCTGTTGGAAAAAAAGGGAATACAAAAACTTTGTTTCTAGAATAAATTACTAACGGCAAAGAGCAATAAAAAAAAAAAAAATTTAAAATGACCAGTTTGGCGATTTCATCATCAGGATCTTCATCATATCCCTCCGCGGGACTCTTCATATCTTTTTCTGTTCCATCATCATCATTAGAGCCCCCCTAAAAGTATAAACCGTGGTATTAAAGTCCCAAATAGATCAAGCTTTTCTGTTAATTTACTTATAATACACTCAGGTTTACCGAATAGGAGCAGGATTCTCTTGGCTCACTGAGTCCGTGTGCAGCCTTAGATTTGCGCATATGAATCTTATACTTTGACTTTTTCTGCCAGAAACAAAACATTCATTCAAAGTTATCAACAACAGAGATGATACTAACAAGATTAGCCTGTGAAGTGATTTCAATAAGCATGATAAGAACATGAAATAATCAGTTTTTCAATCCTCTCTCCCCATCTTAAGAAAAGGCAAAAGGTTACATGTTTTCGCTCTTTAGATCCTTCAGCAGCCTCGTCTCCATGAAGGCTTGGTGAGTAACGGAGAGATTTTTCCTGTTCCTCATCTTCCATTATGGCAGCCTAACAGGCAAATTAAGTTAGCTCATTTAGCTTCTAGCAATCAAAAAAAGTGAACAACCTCTTGTTGATTCAAATAAATCTATTACCTTAGCTGGGTTCAGATATTCTATCTCTTCAAAGTCTTCAAATTCATCATCCTAAAAAATAAATAACCAAAACAAAAACACACATTATATAGAAAGGTACATCATAAGGTAATATGCAAAAGAGCAGTTGCCTGTTCAGAAAAGTAAAAAAAAAAACTATTCCCGGCCTTTTTTACAACTTTCCCATCCACAAAAGTATTGATAACTATGGCGGGGTGATATAAATCGGGATAATTGTAATTGTGATACATCATAAGTATTGCTAGAAGTATTTTGTCCCCTGCCTTTACAATCATATGGGGACATTACATGCTTAACCCATAGGTCTTAAAAAGATGTTGATCCAAGATTGGATTCATTCAGACAATTGGGAAAAAGTCGGATCAGCTTCACTTATGTCCAAAAAGGATTTGGTTCACTTTGCCAGCTGTTTGAACATAGCCTTAGTCAGAAAGACGTTTTAAAACAAAAACTGAAGACAAAACATCATAAGAAGGAGCAGGAGGAGCTTAGCTTCTTCTTTTAGAAAGACTGAACTTAGACTCAGACCTCTCATAGCAAATAAAACACAATTTCAAGACTCGGACAGCATATATAGTTAAAAAGTAAAGAGTTGCTGTCACTGTGCAGATTAGCTGCTAAAAGAGCCACTTCTTCCAACTCCAAAAATGATTGTGCTCTGCCTCACATCGGCACTCGCTTAATGGAGTAAGTATGCATGTTTTTAACTGGACTGTACAGTAATTTTAAGTAATTTCCCTCTGGGATTATTAAAGTATGTCTTATTCTGATTCTGAAAGTAGATGCTTCTATATGTGGTTGGGTTATTTTCCAGAACACAATTGGCTGCTTCCTCAGTAGGATTAGTCAGACATGCATGAATTAAGGGACAATAACACCTTGATCATAACTTTGCATTATAAACTGGTTTAAAAGGTCGGGAAAGTTTATTTTGCATCATATAGACCCTTTCAAACGTTTTCTCAATGTTCTTCCTGACCCAATTCAATGTGTTGCTTGGTGTACAACACAGGATGCTTTTCACTAAGCTGGCCATTGCATTTAACTGTGGCGCAATCTATTAACCTAAACTTAATAGTGCAAACACTAACCCTGTTTTTGTTTTTCTCAAACAATGCTATCTCAACTTATCACATCTAGTTTCAAATCAGACACAGATTGTGCACTTTGTTGCTCCTAAAACTGAACAGGTTCTTTACCTGTAACTTGCCACGAGGCGTGTAGCCATGCGCTCCAGAATCTTCAAACAATTCGTCCTGTAGAAGGAAAACATCCCAAACATGAGACCCGGTTCAGACATCCTCATACCACAAACATTAAAATGCAAACGGCTCACTGCCACGTTCATTTCAACAACAAGCTTCAGTCATACCTTTGAGTCCTTGCGAGGAGTATATCCATAAGCTCCTTTTGGTTCATCATGTGGCTGGAGAAAATAAAAAATGGAATGAGATGGGGTTTTTTCATTTAGAAAGCAAAACAATCAAAGTTTGGTAAATGTTTTTTACCTTTTGTAGGGTGATGGCAAATCCTCTTTGTGGCACAAACTTAATTTTAACCTTGCTATTCTTCCTCTGAGAAAAAAAACAAAAGAGATCTTAAATAAAAGTAGAATGACACATTTAAAACTGCTTTCATTTGATCAGAAATGTTTCAATTGTATTTATTTTATCTCAAAGAAACATCTGACAACCTGTCCTCCACCGACTTTTTGTGCCTCTTCATAGTCTCTTTTATCCAACACTGAGCTCTGAAAAACATTTAATTCAAGTTCAAACAGTTGAGGCTGATTTTCAAATATCTCTAATGTGTTAAAAACTTGAGGTCTTCCTGTGTTTCTAAATGAACTTTACTTTGTGGAATAAAAGTTATTCACCTCAGACTGTCGACGAACAATGGTGTTCTTCCTCTTACCACTTTTATTAAAAGAGTCATCTTCCTGTTAAAGGAGATTTATTCATAAAAAGTGACATCAGTGCTTTTCAACATTATAGATCAAAGCTGAAATTATTTAAGGGAAAGATTGTGATAAATCCCTTTGCCAATCGGTGGCCAGAGTCCTAATTGTACCTTTGACTTTTCTGGTAAATGCCCATTCATGTTCTTGCCCTCATATGTAGAGGTAGCAACTGAAGCTCTTCGAAACAAATTATTGACTTTGGTCCTTGGTTTTTTCTTTTGGAGGGAATAAAATCATTAATAAACATGTGGGTCAGCTTTAATTATAGTCATACTTGGTGCTGTTGCAAAGGAAACATACTTTATAGTCCAAACTATAGTGATCTTCGTCATCTCCTGTAGAAATATTTCCATTCGAACCAAATTCCTAAAAAGAGTGGTAAGGTATTATTCTGCAGTGTTTAATGCAGTAATTAATAAATATGTTTTGTGCTGACATTTGCCAGTTTAAAAGCAAATACAGTTCTTTTTAAACCTGAGAAGTTTTACCTTAGATGATTTTTTTCGGATAGGCAATGTGTTGCTCTTTCCCTCCATCATGTCATCAGAATGCGTTTCCTACATTATAGAAAAAGATTCATTAACGCAAGGTTAAGGAAATGCAAAACAATGAAATGGTCTTTTATCAGATTTACCTTTGAGCTTCGTCTAGATAACAGCGACATTCGAAGGTTCTTGTTCTTTTTCTGGGAAATGATGCTCTGAGTTTAAATTAAGCTAAAGCAAATTTAAGTGAACAAGGAGAGAGGAGCTAACATGTTACCTTATTCTTAACGGCACCATCAGGGTCTTCACTGCTTCCTCCATCTGACTCAGTCTTTTCCTAAAACAGATTTTTTCATCTTTAACTTCTTTTCTCTACTAAACAATGAGCGATGTTCATAGCAAACCTGATTCTGACCTTCATTGACTCTCTCCGTAATTTGAATTTTCCCGACTTGTAAAATTAGACAAAAAAAAAAAAAATCAAAAATGATTAAATTGATTTAAACAGTCTTATGAAGTAAGCAGGGGGGTGTATATAGATTTATTTCTTACTGGCTTAAAGTCTGGATTCAGCTCAGGACTATCTTCAGGCCAATCTTCCACACAGTGTTCCTTCATTTTTAGAGAAAAAAAAATGTCCATAAATAAACACAAACAAGCACTCAAATATGGTGAAAGCATTTATTAAAAACACCTGCTTTTTCATCCTAATATAGAATAGCATCTTGTCTCACAAAACTCCTGTTTTCTTCATTTTGATTGAGGTTAAAAATAAAAAAAAAATCAGCCACAAGAGGATCACTACATTAGATACTCAACATCACACATCATCCACTCAGTAGAAATGAGGATGATAAAAAAAATGAAAGTCCCTGTTGTATAAATCAGCCTTCTGATTAAATTATAATGCCCTGTGGGCTTTTATTTTCTTTTTTTCAATGTTTTTCACCTTTTTTAATAAACAAAAGATACTTTGATTTTTTTTTTCTACTAGGATTAATATCCTGTACAAATTTTTTTGGTCTTCGTTTTAATAATCATAATACCTGCCTCTGTTATTCTAACTTGGCGTTTACTGACCAGGCAGGTGACTGCTTAACATTTGATGTAAGCAGGGTTTTCACATTCATAGATACATATTTTTATGATTTTTTGTATTGAAGCTACTAAATATTTGGCAAAACCTGTGAACGTCGCATAAGGCTATGTTCACACTGCAGGCCTTAAAGCTCAATTCCACATTTTTTTGTGAAATCAGATTTTTTTGCGTGGTCATTCACATTTTCAAAAAATACGCAAGTGTGATTTACTATATAAACTGCATTCATACAGCTTAAGCATCCTGAACGTGCAGTTGAGGACTTAATGATGACACAAGCAAGCGTGCTTGTATTAACGGAAATAAAAGTGGATGGTAGTACTGGATTGCATCTAGCAATCTTTCCCAACCCCAAAAAGACAATATTTTAAAGATGGTTAAAAATAATGTTGTTTTTCTTGCCACTTCTGTGTAGGAAGACGGAGAATAGTATCAACAGCGTACAAGTTGAATCACATAAAAAAATTTTTTAATAAAAATTGGATCCGTGTTGTTCAGAATGTCATGAAAAGATTAGATACAGGATGCATATGGGAAAAAAAAGAAAAAAAATTGGATTTGGGGGACTTCATGCTTCTGTGTGATCGTAACATAAGATGTCTATCTATACCTGTTGTATAATCAGAATATTAAACTGTGACCAAAAAAAAACAAAAAAAAACAGGAATCAAGTGTGACTCTGTATATGTTTCATTCTATAAAAGATGTGACTGTAAAAACACCACCAAACCTAAATTTTGGAAATGTACAACTGAGTAGTCATTTTTTTTCCATCCTTGGGATTTCCATGGATAAACAACACACCTGTCCAATAAGGAGGATGTCCTCGAAGACCACACTATTCTCAGGTTCCAAAGGTTTGCTCACCTGGGAAAAAATATAATAAACATCTGAATAATGTTTACTTTTAATTAATTAGAAAAGGTTCTCTTTTGTCTTAATAAAAGAAAAAGTCACGTCTTCCATTCCTGAATAAAATATCAATACAGAACAATTGTATTAAGTATTAAAGAAGACCCCTCTACATACCAGATTCTTAGGTTTATAGGGAGGAACTGGTTTCGGGGGAGGTTTGAACACTGGTTTCGGGGGAAGTTTCGGCAGCTCTGGTTCGGTAACATGGAATTCAGGCATTTCTGTTTCAACTTCAGTCTACAAGTAAAGAAGAAAGTTCGACTGTTAATGAGCCAGTATCAAACCAACAGCATCTATCATTAAATCCAAGATAAACAGAACAAATCTATATGATCTGATTCGCTGTCGCTTACAGAGACTACAGAGGGTGAAGGGCTCTCCGTGGTCTGGGGCTTCTCTGCTCTGGGGCGTCGAGTTCGAGGAAGGGGTCTTGGTGGACGCTTGAAGGTCTGCGCCTGTGTGACAGTTGAAATTACTATAGTAGCAAAAAGGCCTTTACACTTTTATTTAAAATAAGCCCAACATACATGATCCATGTCAGCTGGAGAAAAGCTGGGTGAGGAAGACAGGCTGCTGGCCAAAATGAAGGGGGTCGGCTGAAGGATATTTTCTTTGCTTTCCTGAGGCGTTGTCACAAGATTTCTTGGCTTGTTTGGAGGTTTTGGTGGAACAACTGGAGGACGCTTTGCTGGCATTTTCTTGTGTATGTCAGACATTGGTGAGTCCACTCTAAAGTCAAGTGGACTGTTGTTTAAAGGTGTAGAGAAAACAGTATTGGAGGAGGTAATCTTAAATATATCATCGCCCCCTTCCACGCTACTGAAACCATCCTGGAGGTAGTCAAATTGCTTTGAGGGAGTTGGACCGAAAGGATCATCCAGACTGGAGAGGTTGAATGAATTCCTCAGAAGCGGACTTGGAAATGGATCGATTCCATTTGTGGATGACGATGAAAATATGTCGAATTTTTCCTTAAAGGATTTCCCAGAAAGATCACCTTCTGCTTTGCTGGCATCTTCTTCGATCCCATTAACATTGAAGAGTTCCTCATCTTTATGTGGAAACAAATCCGCTTCTAAGCTCGTAGTTTTGGAAAATGGATCTGGTACCAACATTTGTGGGGAGTGGACTGAATCCTTAGATGATCTAAAAATAGCATCCACATCCTCCACCAAGTTGTCTGAGCTCTTTCTTGGTGGGAGTTTAGAGAGCCTTTGTGGTTGAGCAGTGTTAGCCTTTTTCAGAGATGCGCCACCAAAGTCACCATTGGCATTAGCATTGACCGTAAGAGAGGAGGGTCGGAAAAGCTCATCCTTGGGGTCATACCTCTGAGGCACGTCAAGATGTTTGGAAAGTTTTGCTCCATTTTCTGTTGTCTTAATTCCATAACCAAGTTCCTGTGGAGAGTTGAGGAATTTCACTGGGGGCAAAGGGACAGGAACAACATCTGCTTGTTCTGAAGTTTCACTTCCAGGGCTCTCCACTATGGTCCTTTTGTTGGTCAATTCCTAGTTGCAGGACAGAAGTTTTTGGGGTTCAATAAAACCAGATAACTGTGTCATCAGGGGTTTGTCTGTAGATGACATACCTTGTAATATGAATAAAAAGGATTTGTTTTAGTCATATCTGCAGAGCCTCCATTCTATTTAAAGACACAAGAGAACAATATGTGATGCAATCATATTTAACCTGCACAACTGCAGGAAACAAGACTAAGAAACAAACCTGAGGGCTCGAAGAACATTCTTCTGGCACTTCGTTCTGAAGAAATTAGAGAATCAATTGTGAAATTCCCATACAAGCCAAGCCATTCATAGAACATCTAGCATTAACACCATACAAAACAAGTAAATAAACTGGTGTTTCAAAGGGACGCCCACAACAGATGGTGCTGATTCTAGTCTTGTGATTTTTGCCCTTGATCATGATAAGAATGAAGTTACTTAATAGAAATTTCTTGTCAGGTAGCGATATGGCACAGACACGCCTACAACTAAAGATCTAAAACGGTTACACCAGAGGTAGTTCATAAAAAAAACAGCAGCACAGATCAGGGATCTGTTTTGTTGCTCTAATGAGTGTAATATGTAGAGATTAAACAGCAGCATCATCAATAAAAAAATTAAAAAAAAACTAAGACAAATTCTGGAATCAACATTTTGTCCTGTTTTTCCTCTCACCTGGCGAAAGTGCTGGCTGTCCATTTCTCCAGCAAATGACCGCTCACCTCCCTAAGGAGCAAAAGTCCCACATCTCAATATGCACATACTTGGAGGAGCCACAGCAAATCATGCTCCTTGCATTTCTTGCACGCATAACTAATGGCATGCAACATGTGATTTTTTTTTTCTTTTCTTCCTCTTGAAACTATTCAGCTATCTACTGTATCCTGCAGAAGCTTCTGATTCTTCAGCATGTAAATCTGAATGAAAATATGAAGCTTAACTTGTAATACGTAACAAGCTTCTGTATAATAATGGATGTTTAAGTTGAGCCAAAAGCTACTGTTTTGAGATTGCACTTTTCAAAAGATGTTTGTTAGGAATGATCTTAAGCTATAAGATAGAAGCTATTAATTTAATGAAAGAATCTTCTAAAAATAACTGAATAGTTTTTAAGAGCATAAAGACTGTAGAATGGGTCATTAACTGCAAAAACTCAACAAAGAACATTAATGAGAAACAAAATGAGCTTTACTGATTTTAACAAATGAAACAAGATAAAGAGTGAAAAGTTTAAAGGGGTCTGAATACTTTTCGTACCCACTGTAGACAGAAAACCTTCTTGGTCTATAAGAAAAAAAACCTCCATTAAGTGGTAGTTTTAGCTTAAAGAAATACCCTTACATCAGTTTCCTCTATCTCGGAAACCCCAACGAAATCAGCTCTTAAAGAAAAGTTAGATATATCTACATGCAAGACGTAGAACAGCTGCTTGCATCAACACATTATATACATGTCACATAAACTAATATAATTCTAGAGCGTCATTTTGCATCCACCACCACAGACAACCCCTCCTCAGCCCACCAGATTCAGAGATTACATTTCTACAAATCCTAACATGACCTCAGACAAAGGAGGAGTTTTATAAAGCCAAGTAAGGAATAATGGTAACCCCAAGCAGAAAATTAAGAGGTTTTGGTTAAATGCTACCGAGCATCTGATAATCACAGCATTTAAAAGTTGTTTACTTTTTTGTAGTGTTGTACCAGTATCGGACGGGGCCCAGATACCGCCCTAAAATGGTGGTATTGGTATTGGCGAGTACCAACAAATAGGGCACCGATACCATTTTGAGAGCCATAAGTTTATTCAACTATTGTCACCCACTCCTGGTAGGTTAAAAAAGTTCTACTGGATTCACTTTGTATTAGATTTTTTTTCTGCTTCACAAAGGTAGGCATCAGCTTGACAAAGCCATGATGGCAATTATTTTACATTATTATGGTATCGGTATCGGCCGATACTGCACAGCCAGGTATCGGGCATCGGCGCAACACTACTTTTTTGACACGGCTCATAAAATAGACAATCATCTTGATTTTTAATTAATTTACACTGAGAAATCCTTGTTAAACAGTGTGACCATATAGACCCTTACATGTAAAAGAAAAACAAACATACTGTATCATATTAACAGCACAGAAACTGTAGCAAAGTGAGGTAATGTGTAAATATAATGTTCCCACTATAGAAGTGATAGTGTGCTGTTAAATTTTAAAGGTCTCTTTTTTTTTTTTTCTTCTCCAATCCCAACTAAGCATTTAAGTTATCTGAGGTAATTTATTCCAATTTATTTCAACACCTTTTACAAAAAAAGATTTTTTGTTTTAATAGGTCAAACCTGTTCCTGAGTTGAAAGAAAATAAATCATCCTGGTGTTGATCATACTGGTCACTTTTTGGGGGGGACTCGATAAACAGAATGTGTCAAACTGGCTGCTAATTCCTTTGTTGTGCAATTAAGGGTATTTCAAAAACTAAAACAGAGAAAAAAGCCTTTTTTAATTTCCCTGTACAAAAGTTTTTGTTTTTTATTTAAAAATTATGAGTAAAACAATCAAAATAGAAAGGAAAGATTTTAGAGGAAAAACCATTTACTAATAAAGTTTGCATGCCCACTTTTCAGTTTGGACCTGCGTCCAATTCCATGTATGTGTTCTACTTACATTATAGTGATGACGAAAGGGGTCATGGGACGCCTTTTGCAGCATATTCCGTAGTGTCACAACACTCTGCAGAGACAAATCATAAACTTACCCAGAATGTAAACACCTAATTGGTGACAAATCAGAGAAATGTGTAATTATTTCATCTTTTAGAGGTTGAGCTCAGTTATTAATTGTAAATTTAAACCTCTTTAGTGCTAAAGAGTCACAACATTTGTAAAACAAATGACTAAAATATTAAGATTTGAACTTGGTTCATGTGGTTTGATTTTGACCAATCCTGACTTTGAACTGAAGCTGTAATCTGAAAGTACTAAAAGCTTTAATTAATGGATAGAACAGAAAAATGTAACCCTAACCCATCACTTTTGTTTCTTTGAAGTATTACCAGTAACTTCTGGACATTCCTTTAGAATTTCATAATTTACAGGACTCAAATTATTAACAAAAATTTCATAATGAATCGAGATTAATGGTCATGTTAAGCTGAAGATCTAATTAATTCCAAACAGAGGTGTCAAGTAACGAAGTACAAGTACTTTGTTACTGTACTTAATTACACTTTTTAGGTATTTATACTTTACTCAAATACTTATTTTTCTTCCTACTTCTGACTTCTACTCATTACATTTTCACACAAGTATCTGAACGTTCTATTCCTTACATAAAAAAAAAAAAGTTACTCGTTACTCTTGGCTTAGGTTTTATAAATATTTATTTCCCGTCATGTGCTCCATCCAATGCAGATCATTGGCTCCATCCACATCTAGTGAAAACTAGTGTAATTGGATGAGTCATATAACGCAAATACTCATTGGTTAGCTAAAGGAAATCATCAGAAGCAAGCAGGTGTTCTTCAAACTGTAAACATGAATTGTCTATGCCATGCTACAATGTTGGATTCAAAAAAAGATGTTGAAATGTCTGAAAGGTCGGACACAGGCGAGAGCGTATCGGGAGATGGAGACCAACAAAACCTCCCTCATCCTTGGCCCTATCTCAAAGTATTTTTCAAAATATTCAAAAAATTGAGCTTTCAATTCATATAGTGGCATCTGGCTGGTTTACTTTATACTTTTATACTTTAAGTAGTTTTTGGAGCACATACTTTTTCACTTTTACTTGAGTAAAGAGGTCAAGTTGATACTTCAACTTTTACCAGAGTGTTTTTAAACTGCAGTATCTATATTTCTACTGAAGTAACAAATGTATGTACTATTGACACCACTGCTTCCAAATAACAATATCATCTCACTAGAAGAAAAGGAAGGGTAGGATGGATAGATGAATGGATAATCAAAGGAAAGAAAGCTAAAATGAATGACGGATAGATGGACAGAGACAATTGAAAGGTTGGATAATTATAAATATGGATGAAACAGACTGACCAGCAGATAAATGGAAAAAACAGAAGAACGGGTAGATTGAGA